ACGAAACTGGTGAATGAAACAATACTGAAGCAAAGCACGAACACATCTGTTTGTGGGTAGCTCAGCGGCCTGAGTCGATCGTAGTCTTCCTGAAATGAAAGAATCTAATGTGTACTAACGTCGGAGGTACTAAGTGGCCGGCGGTGCTTGCCACTCGCGTGGTCCCTGGAACAAATTCTGTGAAAACACGCACCTTAGATTTTCCTCCCCCCAAATTAGGCCTAGTTCCGTTTTTAACAGAAATGTTTCACGCGGATTTGGAATGCGTTGGACACTAGAATGCCACCGTATCTAGCGATGGCGCCAAACGCCGTCTAGGTCACCTTAGCCTTTCATACCTTTGAGTCAGTCAATTGATACCAGGCCTTTTAAGAAGGATCATGGGGGGGGGCATGACTTCCACATGAGACTAGCGCACTAACAAACACCCGTAAGGCCGTGGTGGGCGCATGAAAACGCCGTTACGATTATGGATGGAGGTAAAATGCAAGGCGTGTCTCAGAAAGGGATTGAGTAAAACCGAAAGCTTTAGCCTTCATGCTTTGAACCTGGACCAGAGCCGGATGGCTGGATTCAAGAATATGGTCGAAAAGAGGGCCACATACCGTAACAGAACAAAACGTTCTCAGGAAAAAGCACCTATTGGCAACTTCATGAATACAGAGCGGGATTGAGAGATGCAAGACGTCATTTTTTTTCTCCATTTTTAAACGTGAGCTCCCAGTACCACTTTCTATGTATGAAGCAGAATTTGGGTATGTTTCTCTGTTGGTCACTTTGATATTAACACATTGAGGCTTTTTAAATGCGCTTGAGACGGACCCGATTTTTGCGGAGCCCGCGCGCGCTCAGCCTGCCGCTTTAACAATCGTTAAATGTTGGCGAAAAAGACCAAACATGAGACGAGTTCAGAAACTTCCAACGCTAGGGAACTATCCTGATATACATTTCTAGTGTAGTTCAACATAAACGACGTGTGGTGGCAATGGAAAGGCAAAATCTATTAAATTTTGCTGCAATATATTAGGTGTTTCAGAAAGTTCTGTCGTTTTCTGACACTCCACTTTTGGATGCTTTATCTCCCTTGAAATCTTTGGAAGCTGCAATTGATGTTGAGATCATTTTGAAGAACTTTTCCAGCTCTATCCAATGCTTAGCACAACTTTATCCTAAAATATTTTCTTATAGCTTTTTCAAAGCTTTGAATTCAGTATACTCGATGGAGCAAGCTGGCATGACTTTCTTTTTCTAGCTTTAAATAGACCTGAAAGTGGCGGGAACAGTTCAAGATATCAACGATGCTTTGGGCCTAGATTTGCAATAAATGTGCTCAGAAGCAGTAGTTAAAAAATTTATTGTAACGAAGGCGAGAGCCTTGAATAATGATGATGAGAGTAGTGGTCGGATATCGGACGGTGTCTCCGATTAGCCAAAAGTTCTGATTGAAGCACTTGTGCGTAAGACCATAGAGGAGGTTCTGCCCAACCTGGGCGTATATGGTTTGTACAGCCAAGCTATACGGAAGAAGCTGGAAAGTCCAAAAAATTTGATAGGGGCGTGCCGCGACAAATCACCAATTTGAAGGGTCGTCCATCAAATTGTCGCTTGTTTTATGTGATAAAGCGACTCGTTTCTCTACAGATTTGCGACGTACAATAAAGAGCAGATTCTTCTCTATAGTTCACGAAGGTTTGCTGAATAGATCGACGGCGATGAAGCTCTACAAACTTCGCAGAATTTAAACTGTGCTGGAAGAGGGTTGTGGCAGCTTCCTTCGGGTCGGCGGCTGGCCACGTTTTCAGTAATTCAAAGATCGGAACTGTATACGTGGAGAGATCAATCTTCTAATCAATGGCAAAATCAGGCATGGGGTCCCGCATCCTCATTTTATACAAGAGAACGCACATAAACTACGACCACTTGCTGCGCACGATGTCACGTGCGTTACACTGTTCTGTGTCGTGGGTTACTTTTATGTAGACACCAAACTTCTGTTTCCAAGTTTGAACCTGGTGTTCAATGCAATTTCACATTTATGAGATTTTATTTCAAGCGGAGCAGTGTGTATTAAAGCTGTAAATAGCACTTGTCAAACTATTTTGCTTTTTTTGACATTAACAAAATAATCGCTAGCTGTTGTATAGAAAAAAAACGGCCCAGTCTGCATCAGTGGATATGCTTCATTCTTTTGAGGAAGCTTTCTAAGTCTCCAAGAAGTTTTTGGTTTGCACACTATTCGTTTCTTTTTCATTGCCGTAAACATATGAATAACAAGAGAATAGAAGTAAACACGAACCAAGATGAAAGACAGGACTTGGTTTACTGAAGCAATCGAGGCAAATTTTTTTATTAAGTATTAGGTGTTTCAGAAAGTTCTGTCGTTTTCCAACCCCTAATTTTAAATGCACGTATCTCGGCTTAGACTGAAACCTTTCGAGTTGATTTGGAATGCTGGACCTCTGGAGGCGATGAACTGAGGGAAGGTCGTTTTAGCATCATGTTGGGTTTTGATGTATTTCTCTTCAAGGAAGCTATCGAGATCGTCAGAAATTTGACAGTAGATAGACAAAGGTCTACTAAGTAAGATGTTCGCAGAACCACTCTGAAGTTCAGCTGGTACAACTTGTGAAGGGTTGGCCGTGCGATGTGCGTTCAAGACACCTTTCAGGGATGTGTGCGTTCCTTTATAATGAGGAATGCTGGACCCATGTCCTAGAGTTTTTGATTTGAGTATAAAGATTGATTCTCCACTGTAACAGTTCCATCTGATACTGAAGAACATGGCCAGCCGCTGGCCCCATGAAAGCTGCCACAACCCTCCTCCAGCACAGTTTAAATTCTGCAAAGTTTGTAGAGCTTCATCGCCGTCGATCTATTCAGCAAACTTTCGTAGACTATAGAGAAGAATCCGCTCTTTATTGTACGTCGCAAATCTAGAGAAAACGAGTCGCTTTCATCACATAAAACAAGCGACAATTTGATGGACGACCCTTCAAATTGGTGATTTGTCGCGGCACGCCCCTATCAAATTTTTTGGACTTTCCAGCTTCTTCCGTATAGCTTGGCTGTACAAACCATATACGCCCAGGTTGGGCAGAACCTCCTCTATGGTCTTACGCACAAGTGCTTCAATCAGAACTTTTGGCTAATCGGAGACACCGTCCGATGTCCGACCACTACTCTCATCATATTCAAGGCTCTCGCCTTCCTTACAATAAATTTTTTAACTACTGCTTCTGAGCACATTTATTGCAAATCTAGGCCCAAAGCATCGTTAATATCTTGAACTGTTCCCGCCACTTTTCAGGTCTATTTAAAGCTAGAAAAAGAAAGTCATGCCAGCTTGCTCATCGAGTATACTGAATTCAAAGCTTTGAAAAAGCTATAAGAAAATATTTTAGGATAAAGTTGTGCTGAGCATTGGATAGAGCTGGAAAAGTTCTTCAAAATGACATCAACATCAATTGCAGCTTTCCTAGATTTCAAGGGAGATAAAGCATCCAAAAGTGGAAGTGTCAGAAAAACGACAGAACTTTCTGAAACACCTAATATATTGCAGCAAAATTTAATAGATTTTGCCTTTCCATTGCCAGCACACGTCGTTTCATTGTTAATTCCTAGAAATGCATATCTCAGGGTAATTCCACCCCCGGCGTTTGGCAGTTTCTGAACTTATTCCGGTCGCATTGAGACCTCGGTCAGACTCGGCGATTGCGTCGCTGGACACCAGCGACGGAGCCGCCAGCGACGGAGCCGCCAGCGACGGAGCCGCCAGCGACGGAGCCGCCAGCGACGGAGCCGCCAGCGACGGAGCCGCCAGCGACGGAGCCGCCAGCGACGGAGCCGCCAGCGACGGAGCCGCCAGCGACGGAGCCGCCAGCGACGGAGCCGCCAGCGACGGAGCCGCCAGCGACGGAGCCGCCAGCGACGGAGCCGCCAGCGACGGAGCCGCCAGCGACGGAGCCGCCAGCGACGGAGCCGCCAGCGACGGAGCCGCCAGCGACGGAGCCGCCAGCGACGGAGCCGCCAGCGACGGAGCCGCCAGCGACGGAGCCGCCAGCGACGGCGATGACTCATCACACGATCGATCGATCACACTACTAATTTGTATGAAATTTTGGAATGTGGCACTTCGCTCGGCGACATAATATAACTAGTCTTTTACATAATTAAGCTTAAGGTAAATTAGCGATCAGGACCTCTAAGTCTTTTCATAGTTTTAAGACACAATGAGGAGTTTGAACTATATCAAAATACTTTTGTACGTATGAACTTCTAGAGTTTTTAACCACCATCCCTTTGAAATCCGAGTTAGCCTTCCAAACGTTCAATTCGTTTCCCAACAATGTGTACTATGAAAGCTCTCATCTGTAGTTACATTTTGTCTTTTTGCACGCTACGTCCAAATCCGCATTGTCGTCAAAGGGTTAATCTCCCCCCTGCCAACCGATATCGATCGTGTGATGAGTCATCCAGAAGACCCAGTTGCCAACACACAGCACCACACCCAACCTCTTAAGTGTGGCTAAAGCGGGACTCCGTTCGCTGCGGCTGCCGTCCGCTGGCGCTACCCGTCGCTTGGCGCTCCCTCGCTCGAGCGGCTCCGCGCTGGCGCTCCGTCAGCTGGCGCTCAAAGTCGCGGACCGGCTCCGTCGCTGGTGTCCAGAAACTGAGTGTAACAATCGCCTGAGTCGTGACCGAAGTCTCGAATGTTTTCGCTTTTTTACTCAGCGAGGACAAGTTCTACGGATGTGTAGCGACTACGAGCAAAATCCATCCAAACCAGCGCTCCAGTCCACAAGAAATAAACCGCATTAAAAGCCTGCCCCATGTGTTAATATCTAAACTGAAAACGAACAGAAAACATACCAAATCTGCTTCATGCATCAGGAAAGAGTGCCTGAGAGAAGCCTCACGTTTTCACCCAAACAAAATAAGTGGTGGAACCAACCAACAGGCAATCGTGCTCTCTCATTCGCTCTGTATTCATCATACTTGAAATGGTGCTGTGTTCCTCAGCAACCCCAGCACCCTTGTCCCTCTACGTTTGCGGTATGTGGCCTCTCTTTCGACCGCATTCTTGATCCAGCCATCCTGCTCTGTCGCAGGTTTAAAAGCATGCTAAGGCCTAAAGCTTTCGGTTGAACCAATCCCGATTTCTGAACCACCACAGCCACGTTCATGCTTACTTCCTATCCATAACCTGTACGTCACCGACTTGAGTTGCTGACACCGGAGCCTTACGCTGTTTGTTGGGGCTAACTCATGTAGGAATTCATGCCCCCCCCCCCCATGATCCTTCTAAAAAAAAGCCTGGTATCAATTGACTGACTCAAAGGTATGAAAGGCTAAGGTGACCTAGACGGCGTTTGGCGCTATCGCTAGATACGGTGGCATTCTAGTGGCAACGCATTCCAATCCGCGTGAAACATTTCTGTTAAAACGGAACTAGGCCTAATTTGGGGGGAGAAAATCTAAGGTGCGTGTTTTCACAGAATTTGTTCCAGGGACCACGCGAGTGGCAAGCACCGCCGGCCACTTAGTACCTCCTACGTTAGTACACATTAGATTCTTTCATTTCAGGAAGACTACGATCGACTCAGGCCGCTGAGCTACCCACAAACAGATGTGTTCGTGCTTTGCTTCAGTATTGTTTCACCAGTTTCGTTTGACAATGTGGCCACAAAATGGATACCAGAGATACGCCAGCATTGTCCGGATGCACCGATTCTTCTTGTTGGTACGTTGACCTGTTCATCTAAACGTTTCTGATTCTCTCGACGACAAGTCTCACTGGGCGCTACATTCAGGAACAAAGTTGGATTTGCGAGATGAGGCGAATCCTCGCACAGGTTCGACCGAGGACAGACCGCCGATAACGAAGAGTCAAGGGCAGAAATGTGCACAGAAGATCAAGGCGGTTAAATACCTCGAATGTTCAGCTCTCACGCAACAGGGATTGAAGCAGGTTTGCTCAATCATTTCATACTGTCCAGGAATTGAAAATTAAATGCAATTTGAAGGTATTCGAGGACGCCGTCCGCGCAGTTATTAATCCGAAACCGCTAAAGCAGAAAAAATCGTGCATAATAATTTGAACGATTCAATTTCGGAGAATGGCTCGCCAACCGGTTCACGTACGACGTATTTTGACGCAGAACAGTCAGGTCGCTTAACGTCCCTATTTTCTCTTGTTTCTTTTTTTTCTCACTTCCTCGGGACGGCATTTTTCGCTGTTCTGCCTCATGTCCCTCTCTTTTTTATGTGCACTATATTTGTATGACCAGTGTACCGATATATGTGAATTTTTGTTGCTACTCATCATTGTTGATTGTATTTAAATTTATATCCGTTGAAAATATTTCGACATAATATATCGATCGCCAGTAGTAAATGGCTAATAGTATAGTTATGTGCCATCAAAAGGCAATGATTCTGGTCCTATGTTAATAGTTGATTTATAGAAGATAATCCTGAACTTCTCTCATTAATTACTTGTGTTCGTCGCCGTTCCACAGCACTATTAGTTTCGCTGAAAGCCTTTCACTCACTTTTTATACGCCTTGAAATTGCTCTTTATAAGTTTCATTTCAGTCAAAAGTTGTCATCATTTAATAGGAACAAATTTGCTGATGCATTTTGGAATGCAACAAATAATATCAATAAAGTATGCTACCACAATTCTGGCAATTCGGAGAAGATTGTTTGTTGTCGGTGAATCACATTGAAAGTCACTTCCTTGAAAAAAGTCCTGTTTTGCAATCACATGTTTATATTCTCCAAAAGAAGAGACTCATCCAGTAAAGGGGACATGTGGCGTGGGAGTATATCGCCTACAGACTTTACGTTTTCACAGGGAGAGAACTCTCGGTTGTATGAACCAATCCGCATTCTACAAACACCCCTGAGCTTCTCTCCTCAGTGAAAAACTGGATTGTTGCATCACCCGGGTATCCCGTCAGGAGGCCCATCGCGCGGCAAGAAGGCAGAGTCGCGGACGAGTCGCAGCGCGTGATGTGCGATGTAGGACGTGCAATGGGACATTCTATTTAACTTGACGCGAAATCACCACAGTACGCGCTGCGACTCGTCCGCTGACTCTGCCTTCTTGCCGCGCGACGGGCTTCCTGTCGGGTGCCCCCATATAGCATCCCACCTCCTTTGGATAAGGTCCAAAAGAGATTAATTCAGTGCTGTGATTGTGCCAGAATGATCAAACTAATGGTTTAACCACCACGCATCTTTGAAGATTACCACAATGTAAAGCAATTATTACATAAGGTATCCAGCACCTACACATTCTGTCCCTCCCCGTTGCACACAGCTTCTTCAACGGAGCACCATTGTCTCCATTCGTATTTGGTAAATATGGCAATTCAGTGGAGGGAGTGGGGAGTCATTGACATGAAAGATGGAATCGCCATTTTGCACCATCTCGCAGAAAAGATGCAGACATGCCGCGCGCGGTAAAGGGGGCGCCGAGGCGGTAACTGCCCCCCCCCTTCCCTAACCTCCCTCAGCTAAGCTAGCACCCAAGTTCATGAATAGTTGATTAAACTGCAACCTTCAAGTAAATTGGATGTAATCTGGTATTACAGCATATTCGATCTATTACAAGACAATGACTCCTGCACCCGTCTTTCAGTCACCTCCAATACTTCAAATTAGGGATCCATTTGTTCCCGCTAGTTCTTTAGGAACACCTCTCAGCAGCGAATGGCAAGCAAAGATAGTTTTTTTTCATCGTATATGGAATAAAAGTGGCAAGTTGTCCGCCAGAAATCCGCCCTTGCAACGTTTTGCGACTGAGCGAGATACTTTTGAAATTTTTTCGCACATTTGCGATTTTTCAATGCACTTGAGCAAAACTGCACAATAACAAGATTTGAATCACTTTAATAAAGACAAACCCGCACTGGTAACAGCTAACACCCAATTGTTAAAGTTTCCTAACCGGACTATACAAACCTGAATATGTTTCAATCAATGAATATCATCTATACAATCATACCGTGCACAATAAACAGTCGTACAGGGGCAGTCCTGACACAACGGAAGACAGCGAAGGAAAGACGCTCGATTTGAACGCGAGGACACGAGCGCACACGCAAATTCGGGAACCTAATATGTATAAAGAAATTGAGGGGCTATCAGAGGAGCCTCACCATGCAAGACGTTCAGGTATCTTCAAAAGGAAAAGGCGAAGAAATTAATGAAATTGTAATATGATATGACGAAAAAGATCAGCTGCAAATAATACGAGTGATACGAGATGCAAGGCAATGCAGTAGCAGCAGCTGCAGCAGCTGCACCAGTTGTAGCATAGACGGCACATCATGTCATAGGGCGAAGGAGAAGAATAGATACAATACCTAAGATGTAAGCAGCGACAAGTTTTTGTGGTACAGTGAGATGGAAGTGTTGGGGCAGAAGAGAGTTAGCAGCAGCTGGATCTCCTTGAGTCGGAGCCATCAATGCCACAGCACAAATCACCGCCACACCCAAACACACCAATTGAGACGAGGCAGCGTTCTGAAAACACATAACATGATATTGCTCCAGGTCGACGGACTACTTGAACCCAGCCCTTTAAACCGCCTCTGCGCTCTCTCGCGGGTCCCTCTCCTTCCAAGGCCTCGTCCCCGCATCTTTAATCGGTCTCTGGTCTGGGCGCATCGCGGGCAGGAGCGTGTTGAGGAAAAATCAAGTAGTCCGTAAACCATGTTTATCCTTAAGTTTCTCATTGCCTTTGCAAAAAAAAAGAGAAGGCCCCAAAAACTTATATCTGCCATTGCCGGCCACATCACACTAAAGCATTCATTTTTATTTAATAAATTAATAAATTAATTTTGTGTGCAAGAATCACACCAGTTTGATCCCAAGGCGTGCTTTGAAAAACCTTTCTTTTAGTCACTGCCCCCATTTGTCAGTCCAAAAAAAATAGATCAAAAAAGCAAACTCTGCAACGCATTGCACGAACTCCTGTGTGTAAGACAGAATGCTACTGTAACAGCAATCAATTTCGACTTGTTTTTGTTTTTTGTGGACTACTGTTTTATATGGGTTGGTTATAATTAGAAGCTATTACTATTACAGAGCGATTTGCCAGCACGTATACCATTTTGAGCCAGTTTGCTCCGTCAACCAGCTTAACGACGTAATAGATGTGGAGTAGTTTTGAGCAAAACCATATGGTATGCTACAGCCATGGAAAGCTAAATTAGCTGGGAAGGTGTCCTAGTAGCGTAAATGTAAGACGCCTTGCTCGGTAAGCAAGAACGTGCGGGTTCCGCAGATCCAGCCTGGGACGAAGTTCGGTTCATAAACAGTGTTCTTGTGAAGGTACTGAGGCCGATGTCAGACCTTGCGAATCGAGGATTAGCGTCCGCCGTAGCGTCGTGGCCCGCGAATTGTTTCAATTGGCTGGTACCGCAAACGCGACCGCAAAACGCGACTCGCTCGCTTCGCAAAGTCTGTCATCGGCCTACAGTGCAAATTTGCCAAGCTACGAGCCTCGAGTGGTTTATAAAGTCACTTTAGCATAAGAAATGCGCTTCAGCATGCAAGACATGCGGACCAAAACACCTTCACAACTTTTATGATGGTTGTTTCAACGATTCGAAAAAGAGATACTATAGAGTATATCTCTTCAGGAATGAATGGTAATACCATTATCGGTTAGTGCGTGGGTCTGACCAAATAATGGTTTGATTTATAGCTTCATAAGATCAAGGACCGAGGCGCAAGATACTATTCATATTTGCGTTTCTTAGAAAGAAGACCTTCGAATTTATCTCCTACTCATCAACGTTTTTTTTGCTGCTTTCAACTGAATGATCAACCAACATTTACCCTAGACCCTTTTTTGGTTCGATTTGCTCTCTTTGACCTTCGACTTGAACACCCATCTTGAAATCTTATATCTCTAACAATGACTTGTACGATTCGAAAAACTAAGCAATAAAATGACCAATCATCGGCAAGGGAACGCGAAACTATTTTATCAATAAAACGAAATAAAAATTTAAGTTTGCTAATGGTACATACTTCATCGCGAATCCGTACAGAAGACCGACTAGATGATCCACGATCACCTCTCGCATACATATCAGAGCTTATATGCCACTAGACTGCGTCGGAACAGAGGTGCATTCACTAACAGTACCGGTAGCAGGATATCTCGGCGCCGGGGAGGGGTGCCAATATCTGGAAAATGAACGGCGGATTCGTTTAAATAATTAATTAAATTGAGTTCTGGAAGCCAAAATGGTATGTCACCTCGACAACCAAAGACCAACAAATCTCACAAGGTACTCCATTATCTCGACTCGCAGTCGATCAGTTGTGCCAACTGTGAGCCTTGTCACACATTTAACAACTCTGAAATATTCAAAGTGGGATATAAGGAAAAATCAACGGATCTCAAGTGGCGAACAGAGAAAAAAACCTACAGATCTTTGCAGCTTTTTGCCAAAAGAATCCCTTTGCAATATGGTACAGCATAATTAGTAGGAGCATTGCACAGCACTGGAATTTCGAGAGTAAAACCTCTTTATGACGACTTGTATAAACACTGCGCTAAACTCGTATTCCTGCGAAACGCACCGCGACGCACGCCTCACACCAATACGCCGCGTGAAGCACGGGCATCAATCTTCATCTGTTCTTGCTTTTGAGAATTGCTACAAAAACCCGTCTCATCATACATATAACACTTTTTGATGATAATGTAGTCGCGTCGATCGCTGGCACAGCGAGGGCGTTAATGATCGTTTAGGCCCGATCGGACGATCGATACTATCGGGAGCTGTGCGAATTGTCAATGCGGATGATCGACTGATAGTTTTTTGCCTGAGTACCATTTTTCGACCGTCTCGTACACGCGCGGCGGATGAGGGGGGGGGGAGAGTCGGCGGCGCACAATCTCTGATACCTGCGCCTCTCACCGAAATTGATGACGACTCAGTTTGCAAACGAGTAGTATGCTTGTTCATTAAAATGTTGGCCAAGGGGGACTTGAAAGGGATATGGAGGAAAGAGACCGACCATTGATCCCGTAGTGCTTAAGTCCATCATGCCAGACCTCTATTTCTGTAAGGTTTAATTGATTGATTGGTGACTGTCAGAATGGTCCATCAACCCCATGGAGAATCAAGCAGGCGATCGTCAAGCGATGAAACTGAGACAACTCCTTTGCATTGGTTGCATTTGTTGGTTGATATTTACTTTTGGCTCTGACTTGCAGCGCAATCGCAGTGATTTCGAAAGTTTCTATTGAGTTCGGAGGATGAGGGCAGAGTTGTGCTTTTTGTATAGCACAACTCGAAAGAGCTATGTTTACCGTTGTGTGTTGCAATAGAGTTGCTTTATCATGGCATGAACGAGTCAGCGTACTACGAGTTTACGTTCTATAATACTTGTACCTGATTGGCAGGTTTTCATCTTGGATTGCTGCGGCACATGCACCGTTCTCGCAAGGAGACTCGGCGTAAGGTTTAAAGCAATGTAACCAAACCATTATTGTTTCAGAACGGCTGGGTGGCAATGGATCCCCCGCTTGTTCCATCACATGCGGATGCACCCAACCCCTTTTTTGAAGAAACCCTCTGGGGCCGTATTTGCCTAAGGAGGGGGCCGGGCGGGGAAGGACGGGAATCCCTTGAAATTTTCTTTGTATTCTCGAGCAGGGTCGCCACAAAAATGGGCTCATTTGTAAAGTATGTATGGTGTGGAAGTAATCATTTGCTGAAAGTAGAGAAACTATATCGTTGAAATCAGATGAATCTATAGGGCTTTTTCGTTCCCTAGCTCGGAGAAGGATAGCATACGGCCCTAATTTTGATCATTTGCAGTTCTAACCTGCAAGGAATATGATATTTGCTAGCATTAAGGGAACCACTGACGAACGGTGAATCATCTGAGCTAAATAGTCTTCGCCTCCTCGACTCTTTCAAACCAGACTGCAATATGGGGCTGTCTTTTTTTAGTCTTAGTTACGGGTTAAAGGAGATATAAAAAGTGACAAACAGTAAAACATACGACCCGACATCAACGAGCAAAGCCTTGCACTCGAAAGAGAGGGGAAGAGCATTTTCGTAACAGTGAAAGGAATTTCAACATATTAGGAAACCCTTATAAGAAAGCGGTGACAAAAATGTTCTGTAACGTTGTGGTTACTAAGTCTGTTGAAAACGACAGAAACTCAGTGTAACTATATTTCTCTCTCTCTCAGAAGCCCGCTGATGGCGGTTCAGCATCTTAGAGTAGGTTTTTTTGACTATAGACCAAGAAGATTGCCGGCCATCAATCAGTAATAGTCACCAAACGATCTGCAGCCCACAAACGCCATACAAAGGATGTACAGTGGCAAATGTTCCAAACCACATACAATGGACAGATGTTCAGTGGTTGTTACTTCGAGATGCATCACCAATA